CAGAGGATACTGATAAAAAAGAACAAGGTTCAACTCGATCAACCACCGATAGTTATCGGGAAAGGTGCTATGGGCGAGGTGTATTTGGCCACCTATCGAAATGAAACAGTGGTAGTGAAAAAGAGCCAGGTAAACCTTTTGATTAAGCAAAGTTCAAGGTCCTTTCAACAAAAAATAAGTGAAGACTCTTCTCACGAATTTTTCTTATGCGAAAAAATCAGCGGGACATGGACATTCTATTGAAAGAGTACTCCAATTACGCAAAATTAGAAAACCACTATAACATATTGAAATTCTACGGAGTAATGCGAGATAGTCGTCATTCCTTTTCACTCGTGTTAGAATATGCGCAAAATGGAAACCTCTCCAGTTACCTCAAGACCCATACCACCACCTTCAGTTTTAAAGCTCGGGTTTGTCGTGACATAGCTCTTGGGCTGATGCATTGCCATAATAACAATGTGCTTCATTTTGACCTCAAACCGGAAAATATTTTGTTGGACGCAAATCTAATACCTAAGCTTGCAGATTTTGGAATTTCGAAAACAAAGTCCCAAATGATTCTTGACCACGGAAAAGCGGGCGGTACTCTAAATTATGTGGCACCTGAACGCGTTTGTCGAGATTCAAAGATGAGAGAATATTTCGAGAAGTAAATTTTTTGAAATCGGGTTTATCCTGAGAAGTTCTATTCATTCACTTTATTTATAATTCTAAAGTTTGCCCTTTGACAATTCCCATTAGGTTTCCCAAGTTATCCGATATATATTCATTTGGACTTATTTTGTGGTCAGGTAAGTAACTAACTTGCATAATAGATATTTTCATTGCTGAGATGCACTGATAATCATAATTTTTCAACATCAGTTGCCAAGGACGGTGGACATCCATACGAGGGACTCGATAATGAACAAATTAAAGAGCATAAACGAAATCCCACTTCGATGATAGAACTTTTAAGGAAACTTCCACAAGATACACCCGAGGACTATGGTACACTGATAGTGGAGTTAACAAAATATAATCCAGAGGAACGAGCTCACCTCACTTTCGCCCGACTTGAATTAGAAAATCTATTTGATGA